ATGAGCAACATGTGACTTGAAACCTCTCAAAACTCATCAATCATGTGCATTTTAGTTGCTAATTACCTTTTGGAAATTTGTTAGACTTGATTGGAATAAAAAACACATATTTACTTGGCTTGTAATTGAGATTAAAAGGATTCAAAAAATGTGATCCTGATGCGAAACTTGATTCCAAGTGACCAACTTTGAATCCATGGGGTATCTTGGGTAGGAAGCTTTATGACCCAGTTCCTTTTTGCAATTAGAAGACCTTCCCACAAGCTCTACAATGTGTAAAGAAAGTATTCATTTGGAAACTTAGGTCAAAAGTTATGATGCGTTGAAATTGGCTGAAAACAAGCACATTTAACTTAGTCAAATTTCAAGTCATGAAGGACTGAAAATGACCTATAATATTCCCTTCAATTAAATGACCTTCCAAGCATTTTTAGGTCTTGCTTCTTGAATCAAATTTGTAGAAAACATCCTCAATATTATGGTAGAAAAATAATGTGCTTCAAATTATGAAAATCGATCAAGTTATGATTCTTGAAAGTTGGCAAAAGGTCACTTTGAAACTTGTATAAATTTCACTAAGTCCACAAATGACCTATAATGTATTCAAACTTTTGATGATCCTCCAAGAATAATTGACCATTGTCATGTAAAGATAAGTTGTTGAAGATGATGAGAAGAGCTCATAGCAAAAATAATCACTTCAAAATGTTGAAAATTGAGTGAGTTATGCACTTGTGACTATATAATCAAGAACTTGCAAAAATAGGTCAAACAACTTGAATCAACTTTGAATCTTTTTGAACTTTGCTTGCAATCTAAGGCATGATGAAGCACGTGGAACCTTATAATGACATTATCTTGAAGCACACTTGATTATGAGGCTCATAGATTGATGAAACTTGTTCAACAAGACATGAAAATAAACACATGAACCTATGAAGTTTCTTGATGGATCAAACTACAAAACCTTGAGATAAACTTGACCACATGAAGTTGAGAGATGCTCAAGATATATCACTTTGGTGATAGATGCATAGCTTTGAAATTTAAGCCTTTGAGTTTCAATGAATGATCAATTTACTAAGAATCAATTCTCAAAACCCTAGCTTAGGAGGTGAGATAAATGCACTTGGCTTAACGCCTACAATGTACAAGACATACACGGAAAAACATCTTTTTGGATTTTAGAGATTAGTAAACATAAAACATGTATGTACAAGATACACAACTAGGATGCTTGATGATCCCTAAAGACAAACTTAAAGAAGAGAGAGAGAGAGAGTAAAAGTGAGAGGCCAACCAAGCTTGTGATCTTGATGTATTGCAAAGATGCAAGATGATGGGGGATATTAGGGGTAAAAATCAAGTTATAACAAGTGGAAAAACTCTGGCTCACAAATTGTTAAGATTGACGTATTATTGGCCTATCCTAATAAAGGATAGAATCACCTTTGTCAAAAAGTGTAATTAATGTCAAAGACATGTTGACCTTTACCACACCCCAGAAGAACTTATCAAGTTGATGACTTTGCCATGACCTTTCTACCAATTTCACTTGGCATTGGGTCAACTGAAATTCCTAACAATGGGAGTTGATTAATTTGTAAAATAGATATAAGTATAAGTTGTAGCCAAGATCATGGTAGCGAGAGTGTTTTGTTTCTATTGGAAGAAGATTATATGCAGATATGAGCTCATGGGGGCCATCATCCCCGAAAATAGAACCCAATTAGGATCATGGTCACCTAATTTTGTAAAGATTAGGGATCACAAAAAAATTTTGTATCCACTGTACACCCAATTGAACTGTCAGGCTGAATCAACAAACAAAGTAATTCTTAAGGGACTCAAAAAGAAACTAAACGATGCCAAATGCTTGTGGACAGACATGCTCCATGAGATAATTTGGTCGTACCATACTATTCCATATTCCACTACCAAGGAACCTCGTTATCTATGGCCTACGAGGCAAACACCATGCTATCCATAGAGATTGACACGCCCTCATGGCGTATGTTCCAATTTAATAAGGAGGCGAACAAGATAGGCTTGAAATGTGCAGCAAATATGATCTACAGGTTGAGAGAAGCTTCACATGTCTGAGAATTCGCTGGAAAATGTAGGGCCTCTGGGAGATATAAATTTAAGCTTAAACTGATAGAAATGCATGAAGGCGACATTGTCTTGAAATAACTAGTTTTATCTGCATAACTGGGAAGCTACAACTTGACTGGGAATGACCATACCATATATATCAGAAACTCCCACACGGAGCGTACAAGTTACATGAACTTGAAGAGCTGCTTTTTCTCAGAACATGTAATGTTCTTCATGTTAGGTATTATTACAGTTATAATTATTTGTAATCCCCTATGTCACATCATGTCTATGTTCCTTTGAACAATGATTAAGTGATTTATTTCCGAAAGGGATGTCCTTTCCTAAAAATATTTATATGATGGACTTGACAGCGAAGATCCTTGCTGACTTTCAAGGAAATATCTCATTATTGGACGTCATAGCGAAGATCCTTGGTGCCCCTCTGGGAAACATCTCATTGATGGACTTCATAGCAAAGATCCTTGCCACCTCTCATGGCAACACCTCATTGCTAGACTTCATAGCGAAGATCGTTGTCACCCCTCCGGGAAACATCTTATTATTGGGCTTCATAGCAAAGATCCTTATCGCACTTCAGGGTAACATCTTATTGCTAGACATCATAGTGAAGATCATTGTCGCCCCTTAGGGAAAAATCTCATTGAAGGGCTTCATAGCGAAGATCATTACCGCCCTTTAGGGAAACATCTCATTGAAGAACTTTATAGCAAAGATCCTTCCCTTCCCTTAGGGTAACATCTCATTATTGGGCTTCATAGAGAAGATCCTTTCCGCCCTAAGGAAATACATGTGAGTTATATAATGCCTCGTCTAAGGGACTTATAGTCTCATCTTCCAGACAATACACAAGTCTATATAGAAGATTTCGATTCTTCAAGATAAATTAAATCTTTTCCTGAGGGACTTAGTGTTTCCTTGGGGGGACAAAGCTCAAGAGTCACGCTTAAAAGGCACAACAGATATCCATCCCGAGAGACTTGAGAACAAGTCTTGCCTGAGGGCTCGATGAAATCCCACCCAAGTAGGTAAAAGGCCTCGCTTGAGGGACTTATAGTCCCATTAGATGAGCTATACACAAGTCTATCTTGAATACTTAGATCCTCTATGACAAGTTAAATCCTCGCATGAGAGACTTAGTGCCTCTTTGGCTGAACCCCCCATGGTAGCAAAAAAACCTCGTGAAGGGAAACATTAGTTCTCGGGATACTCCCACCAACAATGAGTAAAAAGACACTTTGTCTTCTACCAAATGCCATGTTACTGACGTACTATTTAGTGTTATATTTGTAAAAAGTATCACCTAGGGCGATGCCCTTGGATTTCCCTAAGAAGGGGCGGCGATAGAAGGTCGCCAGAAGGGAGATATCATCTTGCTTTGTAGTTATCTCTTGCCTCTACATGAGAAACGTGAGATAAGACATTCCTCGAAAGAGAGAAAGTCAAGGTAATTAACTAACCCACAACTCCATTAGAAATATATATTCAACTATTCAGTATTGACTAAATGGGTGGTGTCACTTTTCGAAGAAACCCTAGGTCCTTGGGACCTCTATAAATACATATCCCCTAAAGGGAAGAGAAATATACCTTAAATAATACATATTCATAACTATCTAAAGAGCATAACGCTCACCACCGTCTTAACACACAATCAACGGTGGTTGTACACTTGCTCCCAAGCATCACCATTCATTAATAGAGCACTTCATTTCATGCGAGCGGGTATCCTAAATCACCTCAAAACACCACAACACATGGCTTCTCGCCGTTGTGGGCAAGTCCTTACCCCCAAAATGTGTTATAAACCAAATACGGTCTCTGAGTCTCTCTGCCCTTGTAGAGGGAACACACACACTTCACGTGAGCAAGTATCATAAATCACCTCAAAACACCACAATACATGGCTTCTCGCCGTTGTGGACAAATCTTCACCACTAAAACGTGTTATAAACCAACTAAGGTCTCTGAGTCTCCATGCCCTTGCAGGAAAAACACACACTTGTAATTTATAATGTAATATGATAATGAAACCATCAATTTCTTACTTAAGAATATATTTTTATGTCATTTTATATTTGTCTGCTAATGTAACAACTAACTTACCAAACATTCAAATTAACTTATTAACTATCATTAATCACTTATAAACTACTACTCTCTCCAGTCCTTTTATAAGAGACACTTCACTTTTTTACATTCATTGAATAATTAATCTATTTAGTCTTTAATACAAACCAGATGCATTAATTATTCAATGAATCTATAAATGTGAAGTATCTCTTATAAAAAGGAATAAAATGAGTATTAGTTATCAAATATAAACCATCGACTATTTTTACCTAATAGAACCTAAACCATTATTATTTAGTCGGATCAATCTCAACCAAATAATCATATATAAAATATTAATTAATTTACAATTACATTTAAAATTGTCAACTCAGATTAATTATTTAAACTTGAATAGAATTATCTATCTCTTAAATTAACCAATCTTTTAACAGTGATCAACCATATTTTTTATAAGGGGAATACTAACCAATGTTTTTTTAGACACTCTTTAAATATTTAAAGTAGTAAATTTTTTTAGGAATACGTGTAATTAATATTTTAAAAATTAGAATAATTAACTTTTATAAAAAATATTTTTTTATTTAATATGCTTAAAGAGTGTCCTTAAAGCACGACAACCTTTTTATAATTGTGTGAAACAACACATTTTACTATTGTACCATGCTTGTGGATTTATTCTGTCTTATTTATTGGAAAGGTAAAAGCTATTATTCTTTTGGTTGATGCACCATCATCATCATCATTAAATACAAAGACTCTAGAATCTAGAGAGAACGTGACACTCTTTCTGTATTCCACTTTTCACAATGCCAAAAATAACCACACAAAACCAACCTCAACAAGATGAAGAAGACTTTTGTTTTGAATGCAAAGATGGTGGACAACTTGTTATCTGTGATCACAGGTATGTAACCAACTCCATTTTCTTCATCATCATCATCATCATCATCATCGCTACATTGTTTATTTATTTCAGAAAATGTGTAAAAGTTTATCATCCTCGCTGTGTTGAAAAGGATGATTCGTTTTTTGAGAGTGCAAAATCTTGGACTTGTGGTAAGTAAGCCTCTTGGATTTGATATATTCATAATATTCTTTACTTGTTAGCTCCATGCAGATGAAATTGTCACATGCAAATGCTGTTTTGCATGCATTTTGTATTTTCAGGTAGACATAGTTGTTTCAAATGTAACAAATACACTAAGTTTTGTTGCCTTGGCTGTCCAAATTCTCTATGCAAACACTGTGTTTCCGCTTCGGAGTTTACCGTGGTTAGAGATGTTCATGGCTTATGCTGTGATTGCTTGGAGATAGTTGAGATTGTAGAACTAAATTTGGACCAAGACTTGGAAGGGGTAAGTAAGTTTATAAACATGGATTGTAGAAATAGTTATCAAATGAAGTTATACTAGTATGGAATTTTTCATTTGTCTGTTTTTTGTAGAACAAAATAAGTTTGGATGATAGAGAAACATATGAATGTCTATTCAAGGAATATTGGGAAATTGTTAAGGTAAGAGAAGGACTGACTAAAGAAGATGTCCTCATCGCGCTTCTCCGCAATAGAAGGCGGTTTGTGCCACGGAAAAGTCGCAATGAAGGCGAGAAAGAAAAACAAAATGACACCGGAAGTAATGAAGATTACACTAGTAGTGTGCATAAACCTAACAAACGGAAGCGGGAACCAGAAACCAGGGATGAAAAAGATGAAAAGTTGTGTTTTGTGTGCAAAGATGGCAGAGAACTAGTTATCTGTGATCACAAGTAACTCCTATTCTTTTTCCATTTTTTTGTAGAAATGTTTGACTTTCATTGATCATCTTAATCTCATGTATTTTAGGAACTGTGGAAAATTTTATCATCCAAACTGTGTTGGAAAAGATGTTTCTTTTTTTGAAACTGCAAAATCTTGGACTTGTGGTGAGTTTCATGTATTTGATTTATTCATAATATTTTACTTGTTAGCTCCATGCAATATAATCGCTTCCAACCGCAAAATTTCTCTCGACCATTATAGTACTAATTTGTCACATTTTTTGTTCGATATTATGTATCATGCATTGTCATTTTCAGGTAGGCATTTTTGTTTCAACTGCAAAAAAGGCGCCAAGTTTCGGTGCCTTGGATGTCCGAATTCTGTATGCAAAAAGTGTGTTTCTGCATGGGAGTTTACTGAAGTTAGAGGTGTTCAAGGCTTGTGTGGTGACTGTTTGGAGATAGTAGAGATTATAGAACTAAAATTGGACCGTGACTCGGAAGGGGTAAGTGTTTTAACTTCGATTTGTGGAACATTTACTCCGAGGAGGAAATGTGATCCCTATGAAACTTGTTTGATCTTTGCAGAACAAAATAAGCTTGGACGACAAAGGAACGTATGAATGTCTATTCAAGGAGTATTGGAAACATGTTAAGGTAATAGAAAGATTAACCGATGAAGATATCTCAGCTGCACTGCCAAATCGTCGAAAAGGTAAAGACTTTGAAACAAGTTGCAGTGAAGGCGAAGAAGCAAAACGAAATGACATCGACAGTGATGAAGATTATACAGCTATGCATAAGGAGAATGAATGGAAACAACACGGTTCAATGGAATTCGTCGGATGGGCATCAAGACCTCTCGCAAACTTCCTTGCATCCATAGGGAGATATGACACTGAAGTACCAATGCTGCAATGGGGCGTAAGATCTCTCATATGTAAATACATTAAAGAGAAAAATCTGTATCATCGCAAAGACGAGAAAAAATTCTCACCTGATGAAAAGTTGTTTCCTATCTTTAATAAGGAAGTAATGTCGAAAGATCAGATATATTCTCTACTCGAGTTTCACTTTGCTAAAAAGTCGGATGATTCATATGGAAAGGAAAATCATGCTCAAAGTAAAAACTATTCTTCAGAAAAGAATCATGTCGATGATCAAACATGTACCGAAAGCAGATTATCAAGGTTAATGGAGAAACCTCTAATAAAAAGAGCTGATTTATTGATAAAACCTGGAGGTTATGCACCGATCAATGCTCATAATATTGCGCTTATCTATCTCAAAAGAAGCTTGGTGTTGGAGTTATCAAAACAGCACGAAAGCTTTGCGAGTAAGGTTGTTGGAGCCTTTGTTAGAGCCAGGTCAGATTCCAATGATCATAAGCAAAGGAATTCATATCATCTCGTGAGAGTCACAGGTGTTGTACATGCTGAAATGTCTAATGAAATACTCTTGAAAGTTTCTTTCATGCCTAAAGCGATTTCCATCTCCGAGCTTTCGGATGAAGATTTCACAGAGGTAAATGATTTGTGGTGAACCTATTGTTTTCCTTGAATCAGCCTATGAAGCTCTAGTTGGGATGCCACTTCTTATATACATTCTATTCACTCTTTCGTTCTTAAAAAATAGTACCTGTTAATTGTGTTTTTTTTACTTACAGCAAGAGTGTGAGGATTTGCGGCAAAAAGTGAACACAGGCTTTATCCCAAAATTAACTACTGTAAGTTCTATGATACATGCCATGCGGATTTTATCGTTTAACGGAAAGTTTTAGTTAAGTTCTCCCTATTGGCATTGGCAGGAGGAACTTCAAGAGAAGGCTACAAGTCTTCACGAGGATATGACAAAACATGTATTCATTCTTGACTCTATGATTGTTTTTGTTTTGATGTTTGTTTATTACTTTTGGAATTTGAAAATCTATCTTATTTTCTGATGCTTTATGAACATGTTCCTGCTTGTGGATTGCGAAGCGCCTAGCCTATTTGCAAATTCAAATCGATCGTGCAAATCTCAGAGGAAGAATGAGAGAATATCCTTCTTGTAGCATACATAAATGATTATATAAATTATCAGTATCATATGATTATAGTACTTTATCCATTTTCCGCAGCACATTATGTTCATCTCTGCGATGCTTACACGTGCATAAGAAAATGTATATGTATCGGTTCCGTATTTAGGCCAAATACAAGTAATACTTTGCTTATTTACAAGTCCGAAGAAATATACTATATAACTTCCTTGACCATTTGTGCTGTACAAAAATCGCATTATTAGAAGAGAGGGAAGAGCTTGAACGGCGATGGAAACATGAACAACTGTCGAGGCGTGTGCCATTAGTCCCCGAGCTTATGGAGGTAAAATGTGATGATTTTTACGATGAAACTTTTTTTGATGCATAAGTGTGTACTTTTAGCGGTTTAGTTTACATTTTGGAATGATTGTTTGTCTTGTTTTTCTCAAGGTACGAGAAGGACTAACCGATGAAGATGTCAATGCCACACTTCCCAACATTAGAATTCGTAAAGATTTCGTGTCTCATACAAGTAGCAGTGAAGGCGAAGAAGAAAAAAAAAATGATACCAACAGTCATGACGATTATACAGGCATGCATATGCCAAGCAAACGGAAGCGGTGTAGTTCGATGGAACCAGAACCTGATGAAGAAGAAGAAGAAGATGAAGAGTTGTGTTTTATATGCAAAGATGGTGGAGAACTAGTGATCTGTGATCTCAAGTAAGTAACTCATTTTCTTTTTCCATCTCTAGAAACTACTTACTCTCTTCTTGATCATCTTAATCTCTACATTGATTTTACCATTATATCATATGTTTATTTATTTTAGGAGTTGTAGAAAAGTATATCATCCGGAATGCGTTGAAAAGGATGATTCGTTTTTCGAGACTGCAAAATCTTGGACTTGTGGTAAGCCTCTTGGATTTGATTTATTCGTAATATTTTACTTTTTACCTCCATGCAAATGCTATTTATGAGGTTAACGGATACAAATTAAAAGTAATGTTTTTGCACGCATTTTTAGGTAGGCATTGTTGTTACAACTGCAATAAACCCGCCGAGTTTTGTTGCCTTGGCTGTCCAAACTCGGTATGCAAAAAGTGTGCTTCTTCTTCAGAGTTTACTCTAGTTAGAGGTGTTCAAGGCTTGTGCTGTGACTGTTTGGAGATAGTTGAGATTATAGAACTAAAATTGGACTGTGACTCCGAGGGGGTAAGCGTGACAACTTCGATTCCTAGAACATTTACCAAATTTATGCTATAAGTGTTTATATATAAGCTGTTTCTATGTTAACCAATGAAATTTGTTTGTTGTTTGCAGAAAAAAATAAGCTTGGATGACAAGGAAACATATGAATGTCTATTCAAGGAGTATTGGGAAATTCTTAAGGTAAGAGAAGGACTGACTGATGAAGATGTCGCGGCCGCACTGACAAGCAATAGAAAGCAGGAAGACGTTGTGCCTCGTAAAAGTCGCAATGAAGGCGAAGAACAAAAACCGAATGACACCAATTGTAATGAAGATTGTACAAGTATGCATAAGCCGAAGAAACGGAAGCGGCACAGTCCATTGAAATTCGTCGGGTGGGCGTCAAGACCTCTAACTAACTTCCTTGAATCCATAGGGAGATATGAAACTGAACCAATGACGCAATCGGGTGTAAAATCTCTCATATGTGAATACATTAAGGAGAAGAAACTTTCTCATCCCAAAAACAAGAGAAAATTCCGCACTGATGACAAGTTGTCTCCTATCTTTGGAAAGAAAGTAATGTTGAACGATAAGTTATATTCTCGTCTTGAGTGTCACATTGCTAAAAAATCGAATGATTCATCTCAAAAGGAAAGTCATGATCAAAACAAAAACTGTTCTACAAACAACAAGAATATCAATGATCAGACATGTAACGGAAGTAGCTCGTCAAGCTTAATAGAAAAGCCTCTTCAGAAAAAAGTTGATACATTGATTAAACCTAGTTGTTTTGCATCGATCAATGTAAGTAATATAGCGCTTATCTACCTCAAAAGAAGCTTGGTGTTGGAGTTATCGAAACAGCGTGAAAGCTTTATGAGCATGGTTGTTGGAAGCTTTGTTAGAGCAAGAACAGATTCCAATGATCATAAGCAAAGGAATTCATATCAACTCGTGAGAGTCATAGGTAATATATTTTAGTAAGCTATTTTATATTTCTCAATATGAAAACTCTATGTACCGAATTATTTCTCTTATATTTCTTTTAGGTGTCAAACACGATGAAATGCCTAATGGAATACTCTTGGAAGTTTCCTTCATGCCTAAAGCGGTTTCCATTTCCGAGCTTTCTGATGAAGATTTCACCGAGGTATATGTTTTCCGGTGAACCTATTATTCACTCTTTCATTCTTTAGATATGCATATTAACTGTGTTGTTTTACTTACAGCAAGAATGTGAGGATTTGCGACAAAAAGTGAACACTGGCTTGCTCCCCAAGTTAACCGTTGTGAGTTTTAATATACATGAAGAAAAAATGTATTAGATTTTAAAGGCGATTATCAGTTTTCATTCCTAGACTATCATGAATTGATGAAATGCTTTCTTAAATACATAGCAAAAGTTTTAACGACGGTGTTTTTGGCATTGGCAGAAGGATCTTCAAGAGAAGGCTACAGTTCTTCAAGAGGATATAACAAAACGGGTACTCATACTTGTTTCTTAATATCTTTCTTTTTTCCCCATCGAAATCTTAGTACAAATTCTTGTTCGTACACGTTATGATCTGTAACTATTTTGCTTTGGAAGTTTGTGACTTTTTTCGCATTTGTACATCTTTCTTATTTACTGATATTCCTTGCTTTATGAATATGTTCCTCCAAGTCGATTGCGAACCGTCTAGTCGATTTGGAATCTCAAATCGATCGTGCGAATCTCAGAGGAAGAACAAAAGAATATCCTTCTTGTATCATATAGAAATGATTATCTAAATTCTTAGTATGATATGTACTGCATCCACTTTCCACAACACATTATGTTCATCTCCGTGACGTGTAAGTCCGGAGTAATATACTATATTACCTCCTTGACCATATGTGATGTACAAAAATTGCATTACTAGAAGAAAGAGAAGAGCTTGAACAGCGACGGAAACAAGAACAACTGTCAAGGGGCGTGCCATTCGTTGTCCCCGAGCTTACAAAAGAATCCGATGATATCGTGTCTCATACCGATGAAGATGTCTCTGCCGAACTTCCAAACAAAAGAATTTGTAAAGGTTTTGTGTCTCTGCCGGATGATTCGGCTGGAAAGGAAAACCATGATCAAGAGACAAACTACTCAACCAACAAGAATCATATCGATGATCAGACAAGTATCAAAAGCAGATTGTCAAGGTTAATGGAAAAACCTCTTATGAAAAAAGGTGATTTATTGATAAAACCCGGATGTTTGGCATCCATCAATGCCAATAATATCGGGCTTATCTACCTAAAACGAGGTTTGGTGCAACTGTTATCGAAAGAGTCTGAAAGCTTTTTGAGTAAAGTTGTTGGAACCTTTGTTAGAGTAAAAGTAGATTCCAATGATCCGAAGCTAAGGAATTCATATCATCTTGTGAGAGTCATAGGTAAATAAACTGCTAATACATATCTTGCTAGTTAAATTTTTTTCTTTCTATTTTGAATGATTGATAATTTGTTTGTAAAACTTTTAGATGTCGTGCATGATGAAATATCTAATGGAATACTCTTGCAAGTTTCTTTCATGCCTAAAGCTATTTCCATTTCCGAGCTCTCCGATGAAGACTTCACCAAGGTAAATAAATGTAAATAATTTGCGGCAAACCTATTATGTTCATGGAATCGACACCATTAACTGTGCTGTTTTACTAACAGGAAGAATGTGAGGATTTGCGACAAAAAGTGAACAATGGCTTGCTCCCCAAGTTAACCGTTGTAAGTTATATTATACGTGCTGGACGAATTTATCGAAAGTTTTAACATATATAGCGGAAAGTTTTAACTATCTTTTCCCTATTGGCATTGGCAGGGCGATTTTCAAGAGAAGGCTACAAGTCTTCATGAGGATAAAACAAAACATGTAGTCATTCTTTACTTCTATGCTTGTTAATATCTATATATTTTCCTGTAGTGTTCAAAATTTATAGATTCTAACAATTCAATTCTCAGATTTCATAAAGGTAGATGCTAATTTTCTGATTTCTGATATATTCTTTGCTTTATGAATATGTTCCTGCTAGTGGATTGCAATGCGCCTAGCGAATTTGGAAAGTCAAATCGAGCGCGCAAATCTCAGAGGACGGAATAAACAATATCCTTCGTAAATGATTAGTTAGTATCATATGAATGTAGTGTTGTATCCATTTTTCCCTGCACATTATGTTCGTGTCGGACACGGACACGACCATAACATAACAAGACTGACATGTATCAGGTTCATATTTAGACTAAATATGGAGTAGTATATTAGTGTTTCCTTGACCATTTGTGATGTACAAAAATTGCATTACTAGATGAAAGGGAAGAGCTAGAACAACAATGGAAACAAGAACAGCTGTTAAAGCGCGTGCCATCGGTTATCCCGGAGCTTATGGAAGTGAAATATGATGATTCTGAGCAAGGCAATGGGGAATGAGATATGCCTGCAGGACCAATGACTCATCCTCTTGCTGTGGTGTTTGTGGAGATAGTTTTTTCTAAGTTGGAACTAATATCAACTAAGAAGTGATGATGCCATTTTTTTTTTGGATGCACAAGTGATGCTGAAACTGTGTTGTTTGTAGTGTGAATGATTTTGAGTTTTGGTGCAAGTTCAATGTTTTGGAAATTGGGATATGCATAACTTTTTACTACTATATGTAACCTTTGAAGGCATGATCATGAGAGAAAAAGTCAATCTTTGTTATGATGGTTTGACCTATGATACATATCAGAAATAGAGTAATATTTCCATTAGTAGTATTGCGTTGTAGGCACCACTTGCTATCAACTGAGAATGAAAATTCACTTCTGGCACATGAAATTCATAAAGAAATATGCAATCATTCCAATACTTGAGCTCCGTTTTGAAATCCTTGTGATAATTATGGGCAAATGGTCTTAAATTACTCTTCGTTTTGATGGTGTACTCCATGAAGTCAAACAAAATATCAAATGCACAATTATTCAACCCAAGTTATTTTGCAACAAGATGTGGTTTATGATGAATCACATGATTGTTGCAAAAAATAGGGCTCACTCTGCTCGCTAAATAGGCATCCGGCTGAAGTTGAACTGACAGTTTCTGCACATCATAGGATAGCAATGTGATGTCCTGTCATAATAAAAAATAAAAAAGGATTAGTACAAAAGAGTAAATGTCTGAATGAGTTTTTTTAAGCAACTTTGATTAAATTTTCTTACCTCTTCAGTAAGATTTGCCAAAACATCATCCACCATCTCGTACGTCTTTTTATGGTTATAGGATATCTTAGTGAGGTTTTTGATGAACCAATCAATGGGGAAAGAGCAGTCCTTTTGCGGTTTTGGCTCTACTCCAATAGCATTCCAAAGTTTTGGAATTCGATAAAAGAAAAATGCCTTCAAAACAATAAAATATGCATTTAAAAAAGTATTTTAAGAAAATAGGTCAAACAAATAGTTCAAAATTACATACTTTACCGATTGTGAAACCAGATATTCACTGCTCGAGAAAACTTGTTGTGCTCTGGCATGGGTTGCTCGTCGGCTAAGACAGTATATGCTGACTCATACTACCTTGTTGATATCTAAAATGGATCCGATAAAATACATCTTTGAGAAGCCTGTTCTTTCTGGGAGAATAGCTAGATGGCAAATGATCCTGACAGAGTACGACATATAGTATACTATCCATAAAGCTATAAAGGGCAGTGTACTAGCTGATCACCTTGCTCACCAAGCTGTAGAAGACTACCAGTCCATGAAGTTTGAATTCCCAGATGAAGACATCATGATATTAGACAACTGCGAAGAAATCAGGCCATATGACGGACCTGAACAAGGATCCCGATGGACCCTGTTCTTTGATGGAGCATCCAATGCACTTGGTAATGGTATCGGTGTTGTAATTATATCTCCAAAAGAGTGTCATACTCCCTTTACTTCCAGACTTTGCTTCAATTGTACGAACAACATGGCGGAATATGAAGCGTGCATCCTTGGTCTCAGAGCTGCCATAAACTTGGGGATCAAATCATTGGATGTATTCAGAGACTCAGCCTTGGTCATCATCCAGATCAAAGGGGAATGAGACACCAAACACCCTAACCTTATCCCTTACAAAGAACATGTTTTGACATTGCTACCACATTTTGAGAAGATTACCTTCGAACATTTCCCGCGAGAAGAAAATCAGCTAGCAGACGCTCTAGCCACAATGTCATCTATGTTTAAACTTAATTGGGATAACGAGGCTCCCCGGATCACCATCGAACGAATGGATGAACCAACACACTGTCACGAGATTAATACTGAAGAAGTAGTGGACCAACCTTGGTTTCACAAAGTCAAGAGGTATCTCGAGGCTCAAGAATGTCCAGAAGGAGCTTCAATCAATTATAAAAAGTTCTTAAGGAGATTCTTTGATAAATTCTTCCTTAGTAATGGAATCATGTACAAACGCAATCATGACTCCGTATTGCTTCGGTGCATAGATAAGGTTGAAGTTGAAAGGATCATAACTGAATTACATGAAGGCACTTTTGGCACCCATTCCAGTGGGCATACGATGACGAAGAAAATCCTACGGGTAGGCTATTACTGGTCTACCATGGAAGCAGATTGTTATCAACACTCTCGAACTTGCCATAAGTGTCAAATTTATGCAAATAAGGTGCACGTACCTCTGGTTCCTCTGAATGTCTTAACGGCTCCTTGGTCCTTTGCTATGTGGGGAATAAATATGATTGGGGAAATCAAGCTGGCAGCCTTCAATGGACACCGCTTCATCCTAGTGGCCATTGACTATTTTACAAAATGGGTGGAGGCAGCCTCCTTCGCCTCCATTACCAAGAATGTTGTTGCCCACTTCATCAAGCAAAATCTCATTTGTCGGTACGGTATCCCAGAAAGGATCATCACTGACAATGGTACAAATCTCAAAAACACTATGATCACCGCATTGTGCGAGCAATTCAAGATTCAGCATCATAATTCTTCATCCTATCGGCCAAAGATGAATGGTGATGTCGAAGCTGCAAATAAAAACATTAAAAAGATCATACAAAAAATGACAGTCACATACAAAGACTGGCACGAGATGCTACCATTCGCTCTCCACGGGTACCGTACCATGGCTCGCGCATCAATCGGGGCAACACCCTATTCTTTGGTTTACGGCATGGAAGTTGTCTTGCCTATCGAGGTCCATATCTCCTCTCTAAGGATTATGAAGGATGCAGGACTGAATAAAGACAATTGGATCCGGATTTGACTTGATCAACTAAACTTGATTGATGAGAAGAGACTTGCTGCTGTTTGCCATGGTCAAATGTATCAGAAACGGATGATCAATGCTTTCAACAAGAAGGTCAGACGCCAAGTGTATCAAGTTGGAGATCTAGTGATCAAACGCATCATCTTGCCACAAAGTGATCCCAGGGGAAAATGGACTCCTACCTATGAAGGACCATTTGTAACCAAAAACATATTCTCCGATGGGGCGATGATCTTGACCATCATGGATGGCGACAACTTGCCACACCCTGTGAACACGGACATAGTCAAAAGATACTACTCATAAGATACCCGCTAGGTTGACATACCTAGGCAAAACAAAGGCATCCCGGCGAACCAAAAAGGTTCGGGCAAAAATTAGGGATAAAACAAAAAAATATGTACACTCGGCAAGTTGAAAACCCAAAAGGGTGACTTAGGAAAAAAAGGATTTCCCGGTGGACTGAAAACCCGAAAGGGCGGTCCAGGCAAAAGTTAGGAAATTAAAGCATGTGACTATGTCCCGTCGGATCACTTTACAGACAACCTTTGGCTTCCGCTGACAAACTCAGAGGTTCTGATCAACTCAATCAGCTTCGAACAAGGCAACAAATAGACAAGATGCTCGGAGATACGAAGTCTATAGCAGAATGGAATCTTTTGTACACATAGCTATCTTTTCTTTGTATCAAAATTTTCATTTTTACGAAAGCATTCTCTTACTATAATGTTTTCCTCTTTGTACTAAAATACTTACTCAAAGTCAATACAAAATATTCCGTTGAAAGTGCAAAAACTATTTGTCTTTTCTTCACACTTGCGTTTTGTTTACAAAAACGTCCAATGGTTCATTGTTAAGCATATGCATTTGAACATAATTACTGTTTACAAATAAATGAAATGAAAAGAGACAATTAATGATAATTTTAAAGGATAGGAAAATATCTCTAAGCTATTCCATAAGTAAACCCTACAGTACGTTATTTAAATCCCCAACGGAGCCAAGTCTCAAATTATGAATCCCCAGTAGAAGTCGTCTAACTTCTCAAGATTCCCCAGCAGGTTTTTACAAGCAGCATATGGTATTGCCCTTATAACAAAGTTTATTTCTCAAAACGAAAATTCATCAACACTTCGACTTTGAAGCATGAAGACTTATATATCCGCAGCAGCAGTCAGAGATTTATTTCCCCCAATCCAATAGCAACACAACAAATTAGCTCACATACGCATACATCGCATTCATATATCATAAACATTGATAACACAAATGCATTACATCATACATTTCATGCAACATAACTTTGTATTTTAGCTAACATTTTACCCTTTTCAGGATAAGATTAACAACTACCATTAACAATATTCAATCTTGATACAATTCATATACGCTCTAGATACAGATGCCATTCTGATACTCATTCAGATTCAACCTCTTGATACGGTTCAGACACGCTGCAAACACATATGCCATTCTGATATTCATTCAGATTCAACCTCTTGATACGGTTTAGACACGCTCCAAACACGGATGCCATTCTGATATTCATTCACCTCTTGATACGGTTCAGATACGCTCCAAACACGGATGCCATTCTGATATTCGTTCAGATTCAACCTTTTGATACAGTTCAGATATGCTCCAGACGCGAATGCCATCCTGAAACTCATTCAACTCTCAGATACAGTACAGATACGCTCCAGATACGGATGCCATTCTGATACTTATTCAGATTCAACTTTTGATACAATTTAGATACACTCCAGATACGGATGCCATTCTGATACTCATTCAGATACAACCTTTTGATACAGTTCAGATACGCTCCAGTCACGGACGCCATTCTGATACTCATTCTTCCAGCTTACAAATTACAATTCAACAATCACCTTTGATGGCATCTTTAAGTCCATCTCCTACAACTTTCTATCACCTCTCCAAATGGCATCTGTAAGCCCATTCCTTCTATCATTACATCATCGAGTGCAAATTTATAGGCACTCTAGTGTCCAATCATCATCCACCTTCGAGTCACGAATGGCAAAACTCGCCAGTCTAACTCTTCAGGTTTAAGAAGATTGAACAGGGGCAGCTATTGTACCCCAAAATTTGCCCTCTCACTTATCAAGGATTTTCTCACAAGATCTCTTTGACTCAAGACTGCATTAGGGTTTGACCAG